TACCCTCATGGAAAACGTTTTCGCTGCAGCCCCGAAAATTCATGACCCTCTTCTTCTTGGCAATCCCCTAAGCATGTCAATGGTCTCCTTAATATTCCGTCTCTTTATACTTTCACTGTCTGAGGTCTTGCTTTCTATTGCTTTCCAATTAATCTCGTGTCTAGTCTCTGCGATGTGTCCCCTATATCTGATCTTTCAGTATCCATTTTCCTGCAGAGCCTTTGATATTCCTTGATTCGTGTGCTGATCTTTCTCCCAGTTTCGCCAATGTATTCCTGTTCGCAGACACCGCGTGCTTTGAAGCAAATTCCTGAGAAATCCAATTTATCTACCCTCTCATGTTTTATGAGCAGAGTTGTAAAGAGTATTGTTTTTTCCTTCGTGGTCACCTGAATATTCCATTTTATTAATATTGGCCGTAGTTTTGGAGCTAGTTCACAAGAACGGAGACATATCCGCTTTGTGAGTCTTTCTCCATCTTTATCTTTCATAATCCCCGTCCTGCCATCAGCTCTCCCCGGCCAATATGTTTCTTTGTATTAATTCTCTCGGGTATCCGTTACCAAGCAATATCCAAGTCAATTTTCACAATTCTTCATACTAGAATTCCACGTCCGTTAATCGTAGGCTTCTGATGACCATGCTCCTGAGTATGTCTATCCTCATTCAGTAATTGTAATGAGATTCGAAATTGAGTATTATTCCGGGATATGACTTCTTTCGGAACAATTTCCTCTTGACTGTCGCCGTGAAGCGAATAACCTCCACTTCTAGGCATGCCAAACGCCCCTTTTCCTTTATATCCATTGTGAATTTGATTCTTTCATCAGTTTCGTTCATACACTTTAGGAAATCCTCCAACTTTTCTCTTCCAAGCGACCATTTTGCAAGTTAGTCATCCATCTAGAGCATAAGAACTCTTGGCTGCAGAAGTGACCCCTTGAAATTCTCTTCTAATTTGTCCATATAGATATTTGGCAATAAAGGTGAGAGAGATGATCCCATAGAAAGTGAAAATGTCTGTTCATAGATGTTTCTATTGAATGTGAAGTAGGTAGTACTTATTGCCAAGTTAATTAGTCGTGTTAAAGACTCCCTCCTGATACTCTATGCTTATATGATATCCTCTTCTCGATCCAAAATGTCTAACAAGGCCGTCAGACAGTAATTTTGTTTCTCCCATTGCTATGTTTCTGATCCTCTGAGAAAATGCATATGAATGCTTCACCGTGTTTGATAATCTGCGTTTACCTGCTTGAGTTTCAGACATATGAACTTGGATAATTTGTTGTTAACTCTTAGCCTTACTGGTTCTCCTTCTTTGTGTAACTTTGGTAACCAGTAGGCTGTTGGTGGTCGTGCATCCTTTTTTATTAGTGAATTTATTGTCCATCCATTGATCTCCCCGTTCCTGTGCATATCTTTCAGTATGTCCCGTAAAGTTTCATTGATCTTAATTGTTTGGTCGTTCCTTAGTAGACGATAGGTAGTTCTGTCTTGCAATATACATTCCATTTTATCTTTATATTGTTTTCTGTCCATTACAACTGTCGCTCCTCCTTTGTCTGCTCCTCCTTTCCAGAGTTATTCTTATCCTCAAAAATCTGTTCTTGTGTCTTGGTTCATAAGGTGCCAAGATTCTAGGGATTCTTTCCATCTCCATTTCCCGTTTTGTCTCCTAAAATAACTTGTCGGAGATATTGATGACCTCAACCAGAATGTCCTCTAGAATATAAAAGTTTAGTCCTTTCTTTAGAATCGTAGTGGCTTCAGGAGCAAGGGGAAGCGAGGATAAATTCACCAGCCTGTTCCCCTCATCGTTCTGTTCAGTAGATGTCGTCGCCTTGGAAGCCCCTTTACCTGGGCACTTTCGCTTACTCTACGTTGTCTTACAATTCGATACGTAAGCAATTTATTGTCGTGTTTTTTTGTTATTAATTCAGAGATCCTACGTGCTTTCTTGTAGGTCATACTCTGGAGTTTGTGAAAATCTTGTGGAGCCAGAATTCTGGCCAGATTACGCTGGAGCTTTGCTTTGAAATCTGAAAACTCAAATAGCATATTCCTTTCGATATAATAGGTTTCATTTAAGGCATGCAAGGAAATCTGGTGAAGAATCTCATTAACCCTATCTTAATGGAAGTGTCTCTTAAAGTCATAAAATCCAGGCGCGATACCATAAGGTTCACAATAGCTTAAAAAGACCAGATGATATAATTGAATTACAATTGTCTCCTTTGTCCGACTGTAATTTATGCATAGTTTTGCAATCTTGCTACCATAGTTTCAACGAAGATGGGCCTTTTTTATGTTCAAGATCTCCTTGTGTTGTATATAAGTTGTTTGACCTTGGTTTCGCAACTTGGTCATATTAGCAGGAAGGCTTAGAGGAATCTACTTTTTCCAGTGTCCATAGTGTGCATGTTCATTTCTAGAGTCAGGCTGTGTACTTGGTACATTTCCAGACATTTCGCCGGCATCGTAATCGGCATCATCGGTGAGTCTTGCCATTCTCAGCAACCAAGCTACAATTCGTCAAAGAGGCAATTGAAGCCAATCTCGTAACAAACTTTTTATCAAGACCGTTATTCTATCACTCCTCGTTTTTTCATGTCCTTCAATCCAGATCCGGACAGGAGACTGGAGCAGGATCAGTCACTCGAAAAGGGAGGGGAGCAAGGCAGATAAAAATGTTAGAAGTTGTGATGGGACGAGGGCGAGACTCGAAGTTAGGAAATGGATAGAGGGACCAGGACAAAACAAGGAGTGATATTATAACAGTCTCGACAGAAATTTGGTCAAGCGGATGACTTTACTTGTCACTTTGACATGTTGTAGCTTGATTGCTGAGACTGGCAGGACTAACTGATGGTGCCGACTACGATGAAGGCGAAACGGCTGGGAATGTACCAAGTCCACGGCATGAATCTGGAAATGATCATGCATACTAGGCACTCAGGTCAAGGTGTGTTCCTCTATGTCTTCCTGTCAATATGAACAAGTTGCGAAACCAAGGTCAAACAACTTCTATACAACGTAAGGAGGCATTGACCATACAAAAGGCCATACCATTCAGGTCTTCATAACTTCCATTGAAGTATTTATCATTCAATTAATAATTATATTTGGAAAACCTCTCGAACGGGTACTATACTTAACACATCTTATAAATATTTATTATTTATGAGTCATTTTAGATATCCTTATATTTGTTTATTTAATGGGGACTATACTCTAAAGAAGAGAGTGGACATACTAGCATTATTTATATAGTATTATGCTGTAATTTATTTCAAAGCATATGTTATACAATTTTGAAGAAATCTTCAGATAATTTTTGAATGGGATATCTCCATAGCTGGAAAGCTATATTATTGATATTTTACATGAAGATGGAATTATTTTAAGGGTTCAAATTTCTTGGAAGGTGTTCATAAAAAAGCTAGGCTTAAATAGAATATACACCTTTTTTACTAATATATTCGCCACTTCGAAGGAATTAATGTTTAATTAAAAGAATAATACTATTGATTGATAGAATTTAGAACATAATAGGATAGTTTTTACTCCCATGATGAAAAAACTCTTTTTATAAGAATATCTAATATTGCTACTTTCATGTATTTACCTCCGGACAAAAGTTAATCAAGTATCATATCAAAAAGATTTGTCTTTCCCTCTATATAAGAACTAAATAATTTGACCAGGGGATGAAATGTATGGATCGTGTAACATGCGCATACAATATATCATTATCTCTGAATGAATGCATGATTTAAATTTGCGTTCTAGTGATACTTGTGAAAAGGCTTATAAAAAATAGAATGAAATTTGGATATAAAGCAAGTAAATGGATTTTAGCATATACTAATTGAATCAATTTATTGCTTGAAATCAGAATACCTGTATTACTTAATGCTCTCATGGAGGTTTTTAAAATATTCTGTCTTAACTAAGTTATCTAAAAATACATTTACTATTAAGAAAAAATGACCGACCTTTTCGCTTGTTTAAAGAAATATCTTTGCAATATATATATTTATATATATAGCTTAGTAAATTAAACGTGAACAGGAAGTGCTTAAATATTTAATGGCACGTTTCATATTTAAAATACATTTACAAGGAACAAAAGAGAATGAGTATTTCGATGAGCTTTAAATTTATTAGACAAAATATTAAGACCGGGTAAAGCTCATTAATTAGCAACCCAAAAATTAAACTAAAATTCATCCTAAATTGAAAACCCGAGGGAATTCCAAATAGTCTACTGGATTGATTTGTCTTATTCATTTGAAAAACTCTGCTTTTGAAAAGAAACATTATAGAATTCATTAAATTAAAGGGACTGCTAAATTAAATTGCGAATTAAGCCCCAGAAGCTCTGTAAACAGTGATGAAGGTGATTACATTTCAATAAATGATTTCGAAGTAACACACTCTTAGGCAGAATTTTGGAAAATGAATAGCGTGAGTAGCTAAATTGGCCATATGAAGTCGGATGAGAGATCGCGATACAATGCTAGAAGTTGGGATAGGGGGGAGAAGAAATGCCACAACGTTTGCAAAGCAAAATATTCGAAGGGATAACCTCCATTTATCACTGGAATACGCTGATATGGGCGAAACATCTGAGAATATACCAAGCCAACTGTCCGAAGCTAGTGTTCATAATGGCGGTTATGGCAGGGGACGCAAGACAAGATACGTCCCACAAGACCCCAACCGACCAAGTTGAGTAAATAAGGTAATAACAGCACAATTTAAGATAGGGTCTAAATGCGACTATTATATCAAAACACTAGTTCTATTTTTTAAATTACTATCAAATATTCCAATAAGAAGAATTGACGGCAATTAATTAACTAAAAACTTTTAATTAAAAATTCTAAGACAATGCATAACATGATTACATATTATTAAGACATCTAGTAACTTAATTCTTATTTACGCATCAAAAATAACGAATATAAAACAATTCATTAAGGACAAATAATAGACTAAAGAAACTATGAAGCAAAAATAAATATAATATGTAATTTTTTGATAAAGTAAACAAACTGAATGGACAGATACGTTTTATCGTTTAATTTAACCCTTACTACAGCAATCATCCTGCCTAAAACAGGATAATCTATGAACATAATGTAAAGGAATAATTTCAATATATTGACTTTTCATGAGGTATATTTAATAAAAATAAGTCTTTTAAAGATAAACAAAAAAAGGATTTTTAGGTGTTTAAATAATCGGAACTTACCCATTCCTTTCATGAAGACTCGTTCATAATCCAAAGGAGGGCCCTTTCCCTTCACATTCAATGCACTGACACGAACCTGATATTCAACTCCAAGTTCAAGCCCCTTAATTTCCTTAGAATAGATTGTGTCGCTATTCTCAATTTTGTTGGCATACTCACGCAAGCTGGCCCAATTTCGAAAGGGTACTGCCGCCCACTCGACCAGATATTGCTCGATCATTGGCAGCCTAGTATTGTACCAAGCTAATGAAGATAAGCGCTGAATTAGTGTCTCATCCGATACGGGAAGACCAGTCTTGTGGTCAGATTCGTTGCCAACTGTGACAGGAGGAGACCAACGGATCTCGATTGTTGATGAGTCGATTATCTGAAGACCCCGGCCCACTGGCCGTCCTGGAGCTGAGGGATCAATAGGCATAAAATGGAGATTGTAGGAACAAATATAAAATAGCGCCAGAAAATAAGTTGTCTTTTTATGACTAAATATAGAATCAAGAAGAATAGTCATCTTCGTCATTTGGGGTTGGGAATTCTGAGCTGGAGTCACACACAGTAATGGTTGAAGTGTGTATCGATTTACAGCGAGTACAAAAGCTAGCTTAATTGCTAATGTAATCGAGCAAATTACTTGTCTGATCCCATGAAGGCTACTGAACGGAAAGACTATGGTACCCTAGCCAATGGGGCTTAGGAGGACGGGTTATAGCCTTTTCT